ACCCTAGGCCTAAACCCTAACCTTAAACTTAAACCCTACGTGACATCCCTGGAACCCCTACCCTAGAAACCTAGTCTGAAACAGCCACCAGCTTGAGGCGATGCGCCGATAGACGTCCACGAGGCCCCGGGCCCGGATCGCAAGCGGGCGTCGGCGTGCGAGCAGGAGCCGCACCGCTCGAAGGCCCAAGAGAGGCGGCTGCGTGTGCGAGCCTTGGTTCGTGTTTAAGGACTCAATGAGTAGCTGAGTGAGTACACTTTACACTGTTGGGGATAGTCCCCTATACTATAGTACACTTTTCTTGGGGCTTATGAACTCAGCAACGACGAGGACATTTGGGTTCATTCAGGGTGCCGTTGAAGAGGTGGCGTGTGCTCGAATCAAAAGGAACATCCGAACAGCGAAGCTACACAAAACATTCAACCACTAGCCGTCACATGCCTGGAGCCAAGCATCCTGAACCTAGTTGTAGTTCTGGGGCTTCGAGTGACGGGGCAAAGCACCGAACCGCCACTACATTCAGTCCCGGGCATGGTCAACTGAGACCTTAAACCCTAAACCCTAAACCCTAAACCCTAAACCCTAAACCCTAAACCAGTACATGACCTAAGGGTCAACTTGAGGGGGCGTTGGAGTTTCAGTTTGCTGCGTTTTCTGCTCGTCGTTAAAACTGTCGCAGGTACGTCACCGAGCGTCCCAGCGACCAGTAGTGATAGCACTTGTGAGTTTTAAAAAAAATCATGTGAATTGTTTTTATAATAACATTTTTTGCTTTTATAAAAACAATTCACAACCATCCTCTTTCGTTGGACTGCCGTGATAGAGCAGACACTCCCCCCCCCCCTCCGTTTCTTTCTGTTTACTGGTGCTTGGAGGCTAAGGAACCCTAAACCCTAAATTAACCCTAAACCCTAAACCCTAAACCCCAAACCCTAAACCCTAAACCCTAAACCCTGGCCCTAAACCCTAAACCCTAAACCCTAAACCCTTGATCCCTAGGTGCCAGCCGCGTTGCGAAGACCGAACACCGCAGCCGCGCTGCAGAAGCGCAGGCCACGCAGCAGTTCCTGAAGCAGACTGCTGCGGGCTTCGTGGAGCGGCCCGAGCTCCTTGACTATTTGGGGTTTAGGGTTTAGGGTTTAGGGTTTAGGGTTTAGGGTTAGGACCCACAGTAGGGCCCTTGTTTTTGGAGACGGCGCCTCTAAGAGGCCGTGCGAGTAACCACAATTTCTGGGCTCGGGGTGGGGTTGGGGGGGGGGGGTAATCACGTGACTTGGGAAGCAACTCCAAAGGCTGAACCCCTAATCCCCAAAGGTCTAAACCCTTGCTGTTTAATTCGGGGTTTATAAGCAAAACGCGCCCGCGCCTAGGCGAGAGCGCAATTTCAAGCAAAAAGTGTGTCCGAAACTTCAAAACGACACCTTGTTTTTCTCAGGGTTTAGGGACCGTTTTTCAATGCCAACGTGTACGTAGTAATGTGTTGTTAAGGCACAAGCTGTTGTATTATTTGTCTCCTGCGCGCTATTGTGCTGTACTGACTGTACCTAAAGGTCTCGGCTCAAAAGCCACGCTACCTGGCGATAGAAAAAATTCTGTATGATGCTACAGACTTTCTGCGAAAACTACCCTATACCCCAAACCCCTAAACCCTCATCCCCACTTGGGAACAGCAGCCCAGGCTTTCTTACGAGCCGGAGCCGCGCGGTGTGCCCAAGGAACCGAGGAAAAAGGCAGGCAAGGCTTTTGCGGCGCCAAACAAAGTTGCTGAGGACTGCGTTGGTGTGTTCAAGTAACCCTAAACCCTAAACCCTAAACCCTAAACCCTAAACCCTAAACCCTAAGTCCTAAACCCTAAACCCTAAACCCTAATCCCTAAACCCTTTCTTTAGACGAGGGTTTGTTGCCTTCCAGTCAGGGCTTTATTTGAATAGCGGATTTGGGACACGACCGTGCTGATCAGAATGTTCAATTTCCAAAAGCTAGACAATGTGCGCCCCAAATGGCAAAGTCAAGTTCCTAAACCCTAAACCCTACACCCTAAACCCGAAACCTAACCCAAAAAGTCCCGTTCCAGACTCCATGATCCGTTTCTCTGCAAAACTTGGCTAGTTGGGACTGGCTGTTGTCATCGGCAGCAACTGAAATTGAAAGGAGCTCCTCTTCAACCCTAAACCCTAAACCCTAAACCCAGCATGGACCGCATGGATTCTGGTTTAACTTGGCGGCTTCTGGCTCTCCGTGAAATCTCTACACCCAAAGCCTCGACGGAAAAAAACCCTAGACCTTAAACCTTAAACCCTAAACCAACCCTAAACCCTAAACCCTAAACCCTAAACCCTAAACCCTAAACCCTAAACCCTAAACCCTAAACCCTAAACCCTAAACCCTAAACCCTAAACCCTAAACCTTGAAGCTGCAGCGCGCAAGCTGTGGAATTGAGGACTTGCTGCGCTCACTCTGGGATGCCAAACTCAAGCATCCGGCTCCATCAGACTGCTGAAGCCTGGACCCACGGGCTGCTTGTCAGACTCAGGATGCTCGCGGTTCGGGTCAAGGGCCTTCTCCTACTCCTACTCCTACGCCTACTCCTACTGCTACTCCTACCCCGACCCCTACCCCTACTCCTCCTCCTCCTGCTCCTCCTCCTCCTCCTCCTGCTGCTGCTGCTGCTGCTAGAACTGCTACTACTTCTACTACTGCTACTACTTCTGCTCCTTCTATGAGTATCGAGGACATCGTTTCGCCTGAACGCCGTGGGGCTTCGTGGCTGGGAGCTTCGTTTCAAGGCCGTGATCTCCTGATATCGTGGAATTGTGGCTGCGTGTCGTCGTGCTGGTGCGGCTTGGCGGCGCTGTGCATGGTTTAGGGTTTAGGGTTTAGGGTTTAGGGTTTAGGGTTTAGGGTTTAGGGTTTAGGGTTTAGGGTTTAGGGTTTAGGGTTTAGGTGTCGAAAAAGACCTCTTCAAAACCTCAACATGCACGATCCCTCGGGCCCTACAGGCGGGCTTCTGGTCGGCAAACTCACTCCAATCAGCAAGGATGACTGCAACGTTGCGTTGAACCCTGCACCAAAAGCTAACCCTAAACCCTAAACCCTAAACCCTAAACCATGAACTCTAGATGAGGGCGTTGATTCCCACAGGTCCGCTGCAGAAACAGCTTGTCCTCAAGCACATCGTGAGTCCCTCCTTGGGCCCAACAATGCTCGCAGCCCTGGTTTGTTAGGGTTGTCAGGGTTAAACCCTAAACCCTAAACCCTACAAACCCTATAAACCCTATGAACCCTATAAACCCTATAAACCCTATAAACCCTATAAACCCTAAAAACCCTATAAACCCTATAAACCCTATGAACCCTATGAACCCTATAAACCCTAAACCCTAGGGTTGTTATGGGGTTTAGGGTTTAGGGGCCCTGGGATCCACAAGCTGACCTGCGAGGCAAAAGCGCTGTGTTCCCGCATGTGGGTGTTTATAAGTCAATCTTAATCTTGGTAGCCCAGTGGTACCCTTTTCCCTTTTCTTGGTTCAAGGTTCCCGTATAAATTAACCAACCAAAAAAGGGTGCCCTTATTATGATATGGTTACTGGGGTACCAAGTAATTGCACCCACCTCAGCCCGCGTTGCGGCCCACGCAGAGGTGTTTAAGGTTCCCGGCTTGCGGATATTCGGGTCGGCCCATGCAGGCATGTTGTCCATAGTCTACCCGGGGATCAGGGTTTAGGGCTCGGGGATGTTCAGGGTATTCCAACCCGAAACCCTAAACTTCCCTAGATAGTACGGAATAAAGGGATGAGGTGCCGTCTCTCCTCTTATAGCCCTTTAAGGGTTCAGGTGAGGAGCCTAGTTCCAATAGGGTTTAGGGTTTAGGGTTTAGGGGTTTAGGGTTTAGGGTTTAGGGTTTAGGGTTTAGGGTTTAGGGTTTAGGGTTTAGGGTTTAGGGTTTAGGGTTTAGGGTTTAGGGCACCCAAGAGGGCCACTTCAGAATATGGCCAGTTCTCGAATCCAGGCCTCTCGTAGTGCCATCCTCTCCGGCACCAAGAACTAAGTTAGCAACCCTAAACCCTAAACCCTAAACCCTAAACCCTAAACCCTAAACCCTAAACCCTAAACCCTAAACCCTAAACCCTAAACCCTAAACCCTAAACCCTAAACCTAACCCTAAACCCTAAACCCTAAACCCTAAACCCTAAACCCTAAACCCTAAACCCTAAACCCTAAACCCTAAACCCTAAACCCTAAACCCTAACCCAAACCCTGAAAAGGAGTTGCGCGGCTCTAAGGGGGTCTAGGGAACCAGAAATGCCTAGAATCCTCAAGCAGAGCCAGGAAGTTCATGGGGTTGAGGGGAAGACCTGACCCCTTAGGGCTGAACACCACTCTGGTTTAGGGGTTAGGGGTTTAGGGTTTAGGGTTTAGGGTTTAGGGTTCATGGTGCGGAGCTTTTGGGCTTTAAAGCGTTTACGGGGTTTGCGGGGTTTTGAGGGGTTTTGAGGGGTTTTGGTGTGGCTTCGCGCTTCGGGCTTTAGAGGTTTAGGGCAAACTCTAGTAAACATATCCTAAACCCTGAACCCTTTTCCCTGACGCCTGAACCCTACACCCGAAACCCTAAACCCTGAACCCTACAAACCCCAAACCCTACAAACATGTTCTGAGACCGTGCAGCCTACGACCAAAACCCCAAACCCCAAACCCCAAACCCCAAACCCCAAACCCCAAACCCCAAACCCCAAACCCCAAACCCCAAACCCCAAACCCCAAACCCCAAACCCTAAACCCTAAACCCTAAACCCTAAACCGAAAGGACAAGGAGCTGCAGCGTCACGCGCCTGTCCGTACCGGCCACTCCTCAGCGACGTCGCACGCGTGCGGGCCTTTGGTGCGTGGGATTATGGCTTCAGGGTTTAGGGTTTAGGCTTTAGGGTTTAGGGTTTAGGGTTATGGCTGGTTTGGGGTTTAGGGCTAGAGTTTGGGGGGCGTATAAAGGGGTCTAGAGTTTAGGGTTGAGTTTCAGGGCTTGGGGCGTTCCAGGGATTTGGGGCTTAGGGTTCTGGCCCCCAGGGTGTTAAGGAGAGTGGGGGAGGGGGGCTTTGATGTGGGAAAGGTTGCTGCTTCTGTTTCTGACGAAGCTCGCTAGCTTGCCTCACACAGCACCCCAATCTCCTGGATTCTAAGCCCGACGTTCACTGACCCGCAACTCTTCGCGCAGCAAGGCTTATTCACAACATAATATCAGAGCACATAGTCACTTGCATATTTCGGGGGCCTAGAGTAACCAAGCAGTCATGCTTCTGGGCGGGCTGCCCAGTGTAGAACCCTTGCGCCCTTTGTGTGGGAGGGGGGGGGGGGGGGCCGGAAGGGGGGGTTAGGAGCCCCTTTTTTGACCCAGTTAAACAAAGGATACTGGGTCAAAAGCCTGCAGGCCCTAAACCCTACACCCTACAGACGACGTTCCTTATAAACGGTCTTTCCTGTAGTCCCCGTACTGATCCCCCCTCCCCCCCCCCCCAGTCCCCATGTCACCCGACATACTTTCATAGACTTGTACAATGTTTTTGCTAAGATGGGTTCTCGAAATGATGGTCCCTTTTTGCATCCCCGTCATACAACGGCCCTTAGTATTTCAGGTACCCAAGCAGGGGCCATGATTTTGAGGACTGACCTTGATAAGGCTTCAAACCTTGAATCTAGCTTTCTGTGGGTCTTGAGCTTCAGGTCAAAAGGGTTTTAGGCGGTTGGGCGGTCAGCGTTCAGGGGTACTCCTTGCTAGTGTGGCCTTAAACCCTAAACCCTCGTCCTAGACCCTAGGCTGGGTACCAACCTCATGCTCAACATCCGCGTGGGCCGCCGGGCGCTGCAGAGGCACTTTCAACATGACCCCAAACACCCTGAGCCCTTCAACCCTTCAACCCTAAGCCCTACAAACCCCAAATCCTAAATCCCAATTCTCAACCCTAACCATACAAGCCCAATGAACCCTGAACCTCAGGCTCTCTTTCCAGGGACCTAGCAATTAGGTTCCTATAGAGCCCCTAAGGACCCCAGATTTAGGAATTAGGGTTTAGGGTTTAGGGTTTAAAGGGTCCCTGGAAGGAAAGGGTAGATCCCAGAATAAGCAGTGGCAGGTCCCACTTCTCCCGCTCTCATACCAGCATTGGCGAGACGCGGCGGAGGGTGCAGTCCGACGGCGGCATCCTTTCCCCGTACCCCGGTAGCGGCATCTGAGTGGGGGTCGAGGGCTCTTGGGTTTGTGGGTTGAGGGTTTTCTTGGGGTTTACTGGCTCGTGGGTTTCAGAATTCAGGGACATAGCGAAAACTCCAAAACCCTAAGCCCTAAGCCCCACACCCGGCGCCCCGCCGCCCTGAAGGTAATTGCTGGGTTATTGTGCTTCTTGAAGTAGAAGGGACCCTTAATCTTATCCCCCCTATATAACCCCTATATATACCATAAATAGCCCCTATAAACCTAAGTAGCCCCTAAATAACCCCTAAATAACCCCTAAGGTCCCTTGTACGGGTCCCTCCTTTAGTTTCTGGCGCTTCGTGTTGAGACGGAAGTTGAGGCTCAGCAGGGGCCTGAGCTTTCGGGGTTTACCTGCAGGGCTCGGACGCCGAGGAGTCCCACTTAGGGTTGATATGCCGTATACATTCATATGTATACATATATATATATGTATGCATGTACATGTAGAAATAAATAAATAAATAAATAAATAAATAAATAAATAAATAAATAAATAATATATTATATCTGTATATCTGTTTTTTCAGGGATATGTACATATTCATGTGTGTAGATATGTATGAAGATGTATGAAGTTAAGGGGTAGACCGTTGAATGTGGGAGGCCAATGAAGAGGCCGGAGTCTCATATGGGATGCTAAGCAGGTACACCACCTGTGCCGGAGAAAATCAAACCCTCTTAGTAACTGAGTGAGTGCACTTTACACTTTTTGGGATACTAAAATCCCCTATTAAACTTAGGGTTTAGGGTTTAGGGTTTAGGGTTTAGGGTTTAGGGTTTATGAAAGTGTGCACTTTTGGGGGGCTTATGAACTCAGCAACTAAGCACTACACATGGAACCTGGATCCCTGAACCCTAAATCCGAAGTATCTTAGCGACTCGACTCCCCGAAGTGCTCGGGGCTCAAGGGTCCTTCGCAGAGCCTACCCTAAACCCTAAACCCTAAACCCTAAACCCTAAACCCTACACCCTAAACCCTAAACCCTAAACCCTAAACCCTAGGCTCCAACGCTCTCTGCTGGATGATGTGGATTTCGAAGGCCGGTCGGGGTTCGGGTGTAAGGTTTGGGGATTCAGTCTTTGGGGGTTCTGGGTCTAAAGCTTTGACCTCAATGTAGGGGCGTCCAAATTTACCAAACCAATAGGCCTGGATCTGTGTCCATTCGGTGTCCCTAAACCCTAAACCCTAAACCCTAAACCCTAAACCCTAAACCCTAAACCCTAAACCCTTGCATCTGGCATGTCTAGGGAGTGTC